GTCCTAGCACTCACACGGCAGCTCACAACTGTCCCTAACTCCAGTTCTAGGGGATCCAACACCCTCTTCTAGCCTCCGTGGGTGCCAGGCATGGACATGGCACACAGAAATGCATATAGGCAGGATATCAATACATTCTGAAATAAAATACAACAAAAACTTTTTTACTAGTAACCAAAAAGAATCTTTTTCCTCTCCATTTTAAGTAAGGGAAACTGAGAGGAGCAGTGAGCGTTCTTAGGTGCTAGTTCCTCAGAGCTGACATCATGTAGGAAATAAGAATTGCTGCTGGCCAAATGTCCAAAGCTCCGAGCTATGCCACTGATTCCCGTCACATGATTCCCATTTACAAACTGGTTACACTTTGCAATTTTGTTTTCCAACACATCAAGTGCATCTGTTTCTAACACATTAGATTATTAAGGAGATAGCCAGGCAGTGGCGGTGCACGCCTTTGATCCCAGCACTCGGGAGGCAGAGGTAGATGCAGGTGGATCTCTTTTGAGTTTAGGGCCACCTTGGACTACAGAGCTAGTTCCAGGACAGCCAAGGCTACACAGAGAAACCTTGTCTCGAAAAAACAACCGTAAATAAATAAATTAAAAAAAAAGATTGTTTGAAAATGCTACACCGAGGACTGTGTCCGCCTGTCGTCCTCCCATGTTATCTTGTTTCCTGGCTAGCCACGGCACACGGACTTTGTAATCGTGTGCAAGATGTTTTAAAACGGGAGTCTTACCCATTCGTCTGCAGAGTGAGTCAGCAGCCTATAGTGGGGAAATAAAGAGGGTAACAAATGTCAAATATGACTTACTGTATTTCCATTATACAGCCTAAAGAAATGCTCAGGACAATACTCATTAAACAAGCAATGCTGCCCTCCCTTTATACAGCTCTAAACAATGTAATTATTAATCTTGACCTCCAGGATTCTGGACAATTTGGTTAAATGTTTTACGAGAATGTTTATCTTAAGCTTGGCAGGGGAGTGGAAACAATACTAACACTCACAAATCTAAGAACTACTGGTGCTTCATTCTCCTGAGATTTTGATTCGGTAATGATCAGGGAAATATATATATATACATATATATATATTATATATATATATAAAATATATATATTTTATATATATAATTTTTTTCTTTTTGAACAGGGTAGCACAGTATAAACCACGTTGGCACTGAATTCACATCCTGATTTACCCTCCCAAGGGTTGGGACTACTGGTGTGAGGAACTATACTCAGTTGAGAAATAATCTTTTTAAATGATAAGTTGAGGAACAGTCAGGGGACAGGCTGGTTAGGTGACTTGGCTAATATGTTATTTGGTTTATTATCTACTAGCTTTCCCTTTAACTGTCTTTCTACGTCACAACTCCGTGTCAGTATCCTTCTATTAGGAGCCCCCCTTCCCACCAACACAATATGACTTTATAGCTTAATATGCATTATAAACACCTGTGGCTTTCTTCCAGTGGCTTTTTCTGTTTAACATTTTCCTCTTGAAGTCTGCGCTTCCCATCCTGCCAAAAGGAAACAGCATTGTTCAGGACCCTAAATAGTGATGGTACCCGACGCTTCTGTACCTTCTCAGCTTGGGTAACAAAGAGTAGCTCGTTCTCCCTCTCTTCCTCCCTCCCCTCCCTCTCTCCCTTTCCTTCCTTCTGTACTTACTTATAGAAAGGACTTAACTTTCAGACCAGCTTCCTCATACTCTACTCCAAAAGTTATTAAAACATTCTGATAGAATTTAGAGAGTATTTTGTTTCCTGGAATTCAAATACAATCTAAAAAATATGGCCTCTTTAATGGGTTCAAGGTAAGCTGGTACTTGTGAAAAGTATCTTCTTTCCTGACTTTTCTCTGAAAAACAGGCCAAACCCAGCAGCACCGTCTAACCATTGGACGTGTGACTCTAACCTATACACAGGTGAGTTTTCTGCTCTGAAGGGCCTTGTCAGCCTGGGTAGTCTCTAGATCAACTTCTGTGAGGTATTTCTATATATCTATATATCTCTATATATGTATATATATCAGAGGAGGCAGTGGTAGATATCTATATCTATAAATACGAATATGTGCTCTGAACTGCAGTCCATCTGCTTCCAAAAGCAGACTAAGTTCTTAGACCACCAAAGCATCAGGCAAGAGAGGTCAATGCAACATTTACCTTCCAAGAAGCTCTCTTCACAGCAATCAATTCAAGGCAAAAACTTATAGTCTTCTTGGGAAAGTAAAGCAAGATAGGTAGACCCCCTCAGGCCTTCAGATTTACCTGCACTCAAAGCAGTAAAGAACACACTACATGGTGCTTCTCTGCACATTGCAGATAGCAGTGTGTACTAGATAACACACTTCTGTTTACCATTCCTTTGGACTCTGCAGCAAATTAGCAATTAGTTCTCTAGAAATTATACCGCATGGCCTATGCTGTATGTGCTAATACACACAAAGGTGCTTGCTCCTCTGAATAGAATAGAAATGTCTCATGCCTTTTAAGTTTCATCATTTCCAGAGGCTGGCCCTGTTCCTGGTCCTAGAGATGATCTTGTGGCTCCTCACCCCTGCAGGTGCTAGTGACCATGCTACATGATGTTATTCTGTAATTCTACTTTCTTCTCCTTCTAAAAGAAGCTCCTTGTGTATATTCCCACTGAAATCCACATGACACAGAGGGCCCCAAGAAGCAAACCCACAGCTGAGGAAATTCTGTTGAAGGGAAACTGGGTGTTAGAAGGAACTATTATACCATATTAAACAGTATTAATTAGGACTCCAAGAAACACACATTTATGCTGTGGGACAATGGTCTTATACCCTGTAAAGATCTGTCACTTGTATTAGTTTGATAAAATGCTGATTGGCCAGTAGCCAGGCAGGAAGTATAGGCGGGTCAACCAGAACAGGAAAATTCTGGGAAGAGGAAAGACTCAGACTGCAGTTGTCACCCAGATGCAGAGGACATAAGATGAGAATGCCTCACTAATAAAAGGTACCAAGCCACGTGGCTAACACAGACAAGAATTATGGGTTAACGTAAGATATATGAGTTAATTAATAAGAAGCCTGAGCTAATAGGCCAACCAGTTTATAATTAATGTAAGCCTCTGTGTGTTTCTTTGGGATTGGATGACTGTGGGACTGGGCAGGATGAAAACTTCTGTCAAAAACTGGTGCTGCCAGGCAGTGGTGGTGCACCTTTAATCCCAGCACTCAGGAGGCAGAGGCAGGCAGATCTCTGAGATCGAGGCCAGCCTGGTCTACAAGAGCTAGTTCCAGGACAGCCAGGACTACTATACAGAGAAACCCTGTCTTGAAAAACAAAAAACAAAAACAATTGGTGCCTAACATGGGCACACACCTTTAATCCCAAGACTTGGGAGACAGAGGCAGGCAGATCTCTGTGAGTTCAAGGACAACCTGGTCTACAGAGTGAGTTCTAGGAAACCCAAAGATACACAGAGAAATCCTGTCTCAAAAAAAAAAAACAAACAAAAATTAAAAAGAAAAATAAAAGAAATAGAGTTTAAAATAAAGCCACATAAAGATGGAAAATACACAGAGAATCTGGATACTGTATGCTATTGTGTTGTCTTTGAATTGTTTGACGGCCGAGAAAGGAGCAACAGCTGCTAAAAGACATTTGATTATAAATGCTGCTGGATTAACCTAACCAATATATTTTGGAAATGCCTTGACTTCAAAATTTAAGTCAAAAAATATGTTACTTTGGAGAAGAGGTTTTGCTTTTGTTGCCACAGGAAATGAGAGGCTGTGGATTCATTCTGGGTTAAGAAAAATGAGGTCTGATCAAGGAAGACCCCCTGAAAAGTCTCCGATAGAAGTGGATGACCCAGATGATCCAACATTTCAGAGGACCTCTGTTGGGGCTTCCTCTGAGTTCTACATCGAGAACAGCCTCAAGACTGCTGGCTGAGATGACCAAGCCTCACAGAATATTCCAGTCAGGATTTGACCATACTCTTGAATTTTCTTTAGGTTCCCCATAAGAATATCAGTACCACCAATCAGCAAGAAGTAGCCTAGAAAACTACACCCACATTCCAAAACATGGATTATGGATGTCTGTCTTTGTTTAGAGTGTTGGTTACAAGTTGTCATGGATAATGGTCAGGAAGAAAGCTAAACAAAGGAGATCAGATACAGAATTCTTGTTTTGAGAAGAAATAAAAAAAGGGGAAGTGCTGTGGGACAATCGTCTTGTACCCTGTAAGGATCTGTCACTTATATTAGTTTAATAAAATGCTGATTGGCCAGAAGCCAAGCAGGAAGTATAGGTGGGGCAACAGGAATAATAGGAGAATTCTAGGAAGAGGAAAGGCTCAGTCTGCAGTCGTCACCCAGATGCAGAGGATGTAAAATAAGAATGCCTCACTAATAAAAGGTACCAAGCCATGTGGCTAATACAGACAAGAATTATGGATTAATTTAAGAGTTAATTAATAAGAAGCTTGAACTAATAAGTCAATGAGTTTATACTTAATGTGGGTCTTTATGTGTTTCTTTGGGATGAACAGTTGCAGGACCAGGCAGGACAGAAACTTCTGTCAACACATTTACGATGATACCAGAATAGTTTTACTAAACAATTCAAAGGAAAAGAGTCATTTTCTTTTCCAGCAGAGCAAGTCCATCTTAGATCTAAGATCATCTTAGAGGTCAGTTCAGGATCACAGTTTCCTCCATTCTGAAAAGCTCACTTTGTTGTCTGCACACTGTGGCCCACAGGAACTAAGCATGTCTACATTCTGTAGCCCACAAGAACTAAGCATGTCTGCCTGCTGTGAACCTGAGGAACTAAGCGTAGCGTGTGGGCAGTGACAGACCTGCGGGACCCATGAGGCCAGGCCATAAGGTGTAGGTGGAATGAGCACCGGAATAAAAAGCACACTCACTGGGTGGGGCTCTGGCTTCTGGGTCCCCTTTCCTGGGGTGCCCCTGTTTTGTGACCTCTTCTCCTTTTCTTGCTTCAGTTCTAACTCCAGCTGAGTCCTGGTCAGGTGAGAGAAGAAAGGATGAAAATTCTGATTTCTATATCCATATAGTCTAAAGAATACCAGAGTTTTCCCTTGAAGTCCAGCAATTAAGTTTTAATGCCTGATAAAGTTACCAGGAATACATGGACAACCGAGCTGTGAGAACAGCAAGACACAGTAGAGCTAGGAATGCTCACATGTTCACTCTCTGAATTCAGAGTGCCAGTTAGGAGTGCCCAGTTTAGCAGGTCAATTATTTCACACTAATTCTTAATGAAGAGCTGCAGTTATCTGGATGCCAATGTACTTATACGACAGCTGAGTGGGAGATGTCTGGCTGGTCTCTATAGGTCTATGCTTAGCTCCCACACACCCATCCCCAAAGCACCCCTGGTAGCTTTGTGTTCTTCAGCCACCAGACTCCCGCATTTGCAGTCAGTGGCTTCAGCACCAAAGTGCATCCAACATGACAGTTGGCATGAGAGAGTACTTAGGATTTAGTCAGAGAAACAGGTTTTTAAAGGGATACTGTAACCACCACTTACTAGCTTACTAGTGTGAACTGGGACACACTAATCCCTCTAAGCTGTCGCTCCATCTCAAAGTAGGGGCAATAAGAAGTGTTGTGAAACATATACAAGACACTGTAGAAATTCAGAAGATGTTAGCTGTTATCACTAAAATCAGATTAGATATCAATTACTATATATTTGGGAACTTGGTCTCAAATTCTCTTTTTATTTTAGTTTTTGAAGACAAGAGTGTCACTATGTGCAGCTCAACTTGGCTTTGGACTCTTGTCTCGGCTGCGATTTCAGGCCTGCGCCACCATGTTCAGCAGTCAGTTCAAAACTATTTGATAAAAAAAATGTTGAATGGATTTTGGAACTAACCAGTCATGTGACGCTTTCTGAGTTCCCACTGTTTGCAAAGGACACTGGAAAGATCAAGCCTAGGCAGCTCAAGACCTGACTTCCTCTTTGCTGCCGAGCCTCCCTCCTGTGCAGTACCCACCACCACCCTGCTGTGCAGTACCCACCACCACCCTCCTGTGCAGTACCCACCACCACCCTGCTGTGCAGTACCCACCACCACCCTCCTGTGCAGTACCCACCACCACCCTGCTGGTCAAGCTGCCCCTGTTCACCGCTGCCTGGTGAGTGCCTCCACTTCCAGCTGTAGACTGTTGATCTTCTCTCCGAAATCCTGTTTGAAGAGCCGGTTGTCCAACTCGGCAGATTGGCGGCCTCGCTCAGCCTGGCGCAATCTGAATGTGAGCCATATGAACTTGTGATAAAAACAAAAGCCATGGTGGGGAGGAAGACCAAGTTCACAAACACAAAATAAAACAACCCAAGGGAGAAAGTATGGGGAGAAAGAGGGAGAAAATGCAGGACACAGGAAGAAATTATGATGGGGAAAAAGATGGAGAAGAAACAAATTCTAAAGAAAAGCAAGATGAAGGTGAACCAGGCAGAGGGAAAGCTGATTTTCTATTTTTTTTTATTCTAGTACTACAGTTTACAGCCATTAGGTGATCAACAAGAAGACATCACTTTTTGGAAATCCATATCCAAAGCCACCCTCAAGTACACAGTCAATTATGTTGAAGCCACTGTCTTTCTTTCCTAACAGGCTGGGACATTATCCTTCTGCCTTCCACACACAGCTGAAGGTGCAGGCGGAGCTGCCTTCTCATGTGGGGTTATCACGATTTCCTGACTCTTCCCTGACCACAGAAAGCTGGAAGGCAATCACTAGCAAGCCTTACCCAAGCTTCTCATGATTCCACAAGGACAAGCCTCTCTTAAAGTCTGGCTGTGTCTGCCCTTTCCACTTCTATCACGGGGTATGTGACCAAGCAGTAAAACACTCAGCATTGGGGTTCCTAAGACTCCTGACCATATTCTCCAGCATTGGGGTTCCTAAGACTCCTGACCATATTCTCTGGAAGCTTCTTATGGATGCTTTCTTCTAAATGTCTTATAAAATTCTTATTAAATTTCTTCTAAATGTCTTTGCACCTATAAAGGATCATTTTTATATGGTGGAATATTTGAGGCTTTCTGTAATAGAATTTATAGGCATGCTATATGTAGTCTTTATTGGTTTGATTATTGTCTTTCAATGTGTATGTAAAAAGCAACTCATCAGCATAAAAGGTTGATGAGCAGCAGAACGCAATAGGAGGTTTATAGAGGTGCAAAATTGTAAGAATTAAAATGAGTTTAAGGATCCTCCATTAAGTTGGCTCTAACACAGGCCCTTTGAGGACCTACAAAAGCACACACACTCGGTTGCACTCTTAATTATGGTTTGCCAAGAAGGTAAAAAAATTGAAGCAAAGGAATTATCTTTGCCTCTCTCTTAGCAGGGGCAATGCTACATAGCATGCCAGAAGGAAGGACAGAAAACATGGAACAAAACCCCAGGCACTGTGCCAAACCCGCTGGATGGAGTAAAGGCTCATGTATAGAAAAGCCTGCCTCCCCAAATCAAAAATAGTTTTTTCTAAATCCAAGTATTTATAGGATTATTTACAATGTAGAGCCTAGAAAGGGTTAGCTGTGCAGTCACTTAGGAAAAAAGCCCTGCTAGTATTGCTGTGGCTATCTACTGAGGATTTTTTGTTTTGATATTAACCAATGCCAGTGCATTATTTATTTCTCATTTGAATTTTTTTTTTTTTTTTAGTAACTAGAACCTTTAGCAAATATCTATCACAAAAAAAGTGATAGATCTTAGGACAGTGTTCCAGCAAGGACGGCAGGTTGGAAGTCGTGACTACACTGTGGCCTCTCTATCCCAAGAGGAAGAAAGCAGGGTAGATTTGAAAATCGTATTTGTATTAAAGTGTTCTCTGTGAGCTACCTAAGTAGTACGGAGGATGACAGAGAAGGGCAGAGGTAGAGGTGACGCGTGTCAAGAGGGGTTTCCCAGCTTCCGCACTATGACATTAAGAGCTACCTAATTACTACTTTGCTTCTAAGTACTTTGAAGAAATGCAAGGATGCTGTTTTTTTGTTCAAAATCACTAAGGGAAAAATAAACTGCAAGCAGTCTTGGTTACTGAGAATAAAAGTGTAATGAAATACTAAGTACTTTTCTTGGGCTGGGGATTAAACCTACACAAGGCAAGAGAAGAGGAGTCACGGTCTAAGAGACAGAGCTACTTTAGGCCCAAGGTGCCCAGGTGACACCTGCCCGCATTACACGGCAGAGAACAGGCTCACTGATGTGGACATGGGCCACCTACCGAGTCCGATCACTATCAAGGACACATGTACAATGCTTCTGTTCCCCAGGCTTCCTGAAAATGGTCTTTTGATTTATTGTTCAACTCAGAAATATTTCTCAAAGTTTATTTGGTATTTAATGAGGAACCCATACCAAAATTTCTAACTCTGGGGGAGAAAATAACAGCAGCAGCAACAACAACAAAACCCAACCTATATATCCAACTATTTTTTTTTAAATCCAACAAATTCAAGGTCAACTTTTGGTGACTTTTTAAATAGAGAATCAGAGCTTAAATGTAGGAATTTCCGACTTCTTCCTCTTATAATTATTTTGTAACATCAGACTTGAGAGGCGACCATCTATGAAGTGTCTAGTGATGTTTTGGGATCAGTTTATTTGCGGCACTATTTAAGGTCTTTGCCTGTTTCACCAAATCTTTTTCACTTAATAAAATAAAAATAAAAAATGAGTTGGAAGGGGAATGAGAAAATGGATAAACAGGAAACAAAGACAGCAAGAAAATCAGTCAGATGAGTCATCATTATTTTAGTTCTGTTGGCCTTAACTGCCAAGTCAAAATCCGAGAAATAGTTTCAAACATCACAAAAGTACAACTTATGAACATGAACATTAGTTTATTAAATCATAAATTATCAGTGATGATGAGCAAGCACTTGGGTAATCTGCTATAGAAATGGAGTCATTTCCATCTATCATTCATAGCAGTACCAACCATGCCAAAGTTTCGGCCTCATTTGTAAGTCTGCAGTTAGCTTTACTGTTAACACTAACATGCTCCACTGTTCAGGACTCTCCTCCCTGGTGAAGACTCACCTGAAGGAAGTCACCCATCCCATTCATCCATTCATTCATACATCAACTTATGCCATGTACATTCAAGAACTGTGAGAGATCCTGTGACAGGACTGGAACGATTAGTTAACTAACTGCAAAGAGCTCACACTCTGAGAAGACCAGAGACTGATGCAGACTACAAGGTGAGGTGCACAGTGAGAGATGCCAGGCAGGATGGGATCGGTGGAACAAAGCGCCAATCCTAGCTGGAAAGAGGTATCAGAGGAAGCCAATATCAGGAGGTGGCATTTGAAGCTTCATGTAAAAAATGGATTTGAAGAGGGGAGTGGGAAGGGACCATGCATAACTGGTGGAACTATCAGAACAACAGGGATGAGACAGCAGAAAGCATGGCCTACATGGCTCGGGTTTGCTCAAGCATAACAAGGGTGGTGAGCAGGGACTGGCGGTAGGAATGGTAGATGATCTCGGGAGCTACAGTGCACTGAACTGTGAAGTCTCAGATATTTCTCTGTTGCTACAGAGGTACAGGGGGAGGGGGTGACGTCAGACAAAAGGAGAAAGAGGATCTCACAGGAAGAAGACAAGCACTGGTGGGCAGGACGGAGTAGAAGAGGGAACTCCCAACAGACAGGTGGAGGTGAGAGAGACACAGCGGAGGCATCAGCAAAAGCCACACAACGACTCCGGAGAAAAAGGGGGAGATGAGAGAGAATAGAGAAAAAAGTTCAAGATGGGAGAGAGCCACGGTCAATACTTGGAGGACATCTGCCTTTCAGAATCCCTACCTCACCTAACGTGAAGACGTCTAAAGACTTCAGTGACACACAAACTACACAATTACAAACACTGTTCAGTTAGATAGGGTCACACACTTCAACCCAACCTGGCCTGGAACTCGCTATATAAGACCATTAAAAAAAACCCTTAAAACTTAAAATATAATTACATAATTTGTTGCTTTCCTCCCTCCAGTCTTTCCTGTGTCCCTCTTACTCTCTCTCAAACTCATGGCCTTTTCTTATTACACACACACACACACACACACACACACACACACACACACACACCCCTACAACCCGCTGAGTCCATTTTGTGTTGCTTGTATGAGCATGACTTTAGCACTGAACACTTGGTATTGGATGCCCAGCTATAGGCAACTGTAGTTCTCTCTAGAGCTGTGGGGATGTGAGAGTCAATCCATGTTAGTCTGCCCGTTAGACAGACCACTCTTAACAATATTTTGGAATGTCATGAAACACACAGATAAAATTTAACCAGCATATCTTACTTAGGTTGCAAAAACTTCTTCTATTTTCTATTCGCTGAACATACTCTCAGTACTTCCAATACAGAAACAGCACTTTTACCTTTGCTCCAGCTGTTTAATGGTGGCAGCCATCTGATTAGTCTTCTCTTCTAAGCGACTGTTTAATTCACTTTTCTGTTTTACTCCTAGGTCTGAACTCTGGGTAAAAAAGAATTATAAAGATTTATAGGAAATAAATGGAACTGTTCTTCATTAGTATATCATTAATTTCTAAGTAGAAAAAGGAAGTCAAGGAGCATTTTTCTAAAATAAGTATTATTAAATGAAGTTTACTACAATATCAGAAGGCTCATTAATTTATCTGTCCATTAGAGATCTAATGCAATTTACAATTCAGCTGACATGCTAAGCTGTGGAGCAGAAATTATAGGATACAAATATTTATATTATTATTATTCTAATCTTTGTAACTTTTTTCCAACATAATATTTTCACTGATTATTGGGAATTTCATACAGTGCACCCCAATCAGTCACTTCCCTTTCTTCTCAGGTTCCACCTTTCCACCCTTCTGCCTTCCCCCCAAAAGAAAAATATACACTAAATCTAATTTGTGTTGCCCATACACTCACAAATATTGATATTAAATAAATTAAACATATATCTAAATATGATATGAAGGGAAAGTACAATATAAAGGTAAAAGGAGAACTAGGAGGGGAGAGGGAGAGTCCATGGCGGAAGTGGGGACAAGAGGACAGAGGGTAACGGGAAGAAAAGACAGATATCACATGTCCTCTCGCGTGGAACCTAGATTTAAATACACATTATTTGCTTAATATATAAAGGAAAGGAACAGTAAAAAGAGGGAGTGAGACAAGGAAGGGACTTGAGGATGAATATGAATGGTGTTCAATGTTAAATATGTGCACAAAAATCTCATTAAGAAACCCCTATTTCAGGCTGGAGAGGTGTCTCGAGAGTTAAGAGGACTCGCTGCTCTTGTAGAGGACCAGGGTTCAATTCTCAGCACCCATATAGTGAGTGGCTCACAACCACCTGTAACTCCAGTTCCAGAGGGATCGGACACCTTCTTCTGATCTCTGTGAGCAGCAGGCAGGCATCACATGGTGCATGCAGACATATATGCAGGCAGAACAACCATATACATAAAATAAAAATGAACATTTAAAGAAAAAGAAAAGAAAAGAAACCCCAATTTTGAGCTACAGATATGGCTCAGTGAACAAGAGCACACACCGCTCCTGCAGAGACCTGAATCTGGCTCCCAGCACCCAGGTTAGCAGCTCATAAACCCTGACAGTCCCTGTTCTAGGTGATGTAACACTCTGATACGCTGAGGACGTGAGTACACAGACCACACAGACATAAAAGAAAAATAAATCTTCGAAGAAAGAGAAACCCGCAGGTTTTCTTTTTGTTGTTGTTGTGTTTTTTTTTTCCTTTTTTTTGTTTTTCGAGACAGGGTTTCTGTTTAGCTAGTTCTGAAACTAGCTCTGTAGCCCAGGTTGGCCTCAAACTCACAGAGATCCACCTGCTTCTGCCTCCCAAGGGCTGGGATTAAAGATGTGCACCACTACTGCCTAGCAGAAACCCATATTTTGATGCTGTCTATTGCTATTACTGTGATAAACACCACGGCCAAGAGCAAGTTGGGGTTAAAAAGGGTTTATTTCACCTTGCAGATCTCAGTCCATCATCAAGAGAAGTCAGGGCAGGAACCTGGAGGCAGGAACTGAAGCACAGGCCATGGAGGAGGCTGTTTATCGGCTTGTTCCTCCTGGTTTCCTTAGCCTGCTTTCTTAAAGCCTAGACCAGGGTGGCACCACCCACAGTGATCTGGACATCTGGACCCTCCCACATCAATCATCAATCAAGAAAATGTACCACGGGTTTACCCGCAGGCCAATCTGGTGAGGGCATTTTCTCAATTGAGGTTCCCTCTTCCAGAATGACACTAGCTTGTGTCAAATTGACCTAAAACTAGCCAGCACGGGTGAGTGTGTGTGTGTGTGTGTGTGTGTGTGTGTGTGAGAGAGAGAGAGAGAGAGAGAGAGAGAGAGAGAGAGAGAGAGAGAGAGAGCCAGGGAGTCTACTCCTTTTCTTTCCCTACCTGCAGCTTGAAGGCAAGCTCATGCTTGAGAGCCCGGAGATCATCCAGTTGCTGCCGCAGAGACACCAGGGCATCCTGCTTCTCACAGACATCTTTCTCCAGCATCTTCATTGCCAGCTCCATCTCCTGCCTCATGCTGATCTGCAGCTCCAGTTCCTTCTCCACGTCCTGCCGCAAAGCAGATGAACTGCTTACACTCTTGCCCCCATTATATAAATGCCGTAAGGTTTCACAAGAAAAGGTAGATGGATACCTTTAGTGCTGAGCATTTTGGCAGAAGGTATTTAAGAGACATTAATGACTAATAATAATTAATAAGACACTAATAGTAACTATTAGGAGCTGGGTGGCAGTTTAATCCACACATGTTTAATTCAGCAATTGGGAGGCAGAGGCAGGTGGATATACGGGCTAGAGGCCAGTCTGGTCTACAAAGTGAGTTCCAGGACAACCAAGGCTACACAGAGAAACCCAGTCTCAGAATAAAACAAAATAATAATAACAACGATTAGGATTAAGAAGAAGAACATTGTACTGGGATGTTCTTGATAGAGCTGAGATACCTGTAGTAACAGTTCAGTTACTGGGGATGGTCAGTAAGGTCAAGTGAAATTTCATCACTACTATGTGACTCTTTGGTTTCTACTATAGTCATGGCAGCATCTTTAGCAGAACAAAGATACAGACTGGAGTTTTCTTCCACATTTAGGCTGTGCTCAGGGCACACCTTGGACTGGTCTTACCTAGTTTCATATCGTTAATGTGATACGAGCATATGACAACTTTCAAGTTCTGGATCATGTGTTCCCTTTTTAAATAGTTATGGTAAAAATGAATCATGCTGCCACATGCTGACATTATTTCTAGGATACTTTTAATGGAAAACATTTTAGTCCCTAATTTACAAACATACAGACAGTAAATGGTAGTTATTAAAGTGCATTAAGAAGGTTCTATTTGCAGAAAACCTGAATTCTGCCATGTACTCTTTCTTTTAAAGATTTACTCATTTTATGCATGAGTCCTTTGTCTGCATGTACAACTTTCTGCCAGACGAGGGCATCAGATCCCACTATAGATGCTTGGGAGCCACCACGTGGTCGCTGAGAATTGAACTCAGAACCTGGAAGAGCAGCCAGTGCTCTCAACCGCTGAGCCATCTCTCCAACCCCCTCTGCCATGTGCTCTTAACTTGAAGTAACTTATTAAGCACAGATTAAACCATCTCTCATTTTCAATTCCACATTCTTAGAGATACTGCAGAGTGGGCAGGGCAAGAAACTGTTTCATAGGGTTTGTAAAAACAGGGGCACATTATTGAGTGTTGGAACTTTGATGGGACATTTGCAGCTTCTCGAGAGCCCAGCCTTCTTGTGTGTTCTCGCTACTAGAAGTTAAAGAAGTTAAAGTTGTTTACCAATCGTAATTGTGTCTCCTCCTTTAAGTGCCTTCTTGCTTCACTCAGTGCTTGCCCTTCTGCAGTTCTGTCTTGTTTAGGGCCCTTGAAAAGGTAAAGAAGAGTACATATTTAAGGACTTAAAGACTCGACACCAAATTTGCAGACACAATAAAGAAATGCACATTGAGCATAAGGTTATGTTGGATTGGAAATTTGTTGTCTCTTTATTAAAAACCCTAAAAGTGAGTTACCAAAACTGGTGGTGGAGATTCGCCCCCTCAGTCCTGGAAAACACTGCCATAGCTGTGTGTGGTTGCCAATGCCAGTAGTCTGAACACGTGGAGCCTAGCAAGAAGACTGCTCAGAGTCTGAGGCCAGCCTGGAGTACAGACTAAGACACTGTATAAAAAACAAAGACCACACACCACACATACATACACCACACACACACACAAAACAAAAACACTCACCCACCTACCCAAGCACGCAAACAAGCAAAGGGGCTGGGTTACAGTGCAGATGGCAGAGTGACTGCTCAGCCTGCACGAGCCTTGCATTCAACCCCTAGCTCCTCCTAAAACTGGGAACAGCTCAGATCTTTAACCCTGGCACTGGGAAGTGGAGGCAGAAGGATTAGGATTTCAAGCCATCCTTAGTTATATATAAAGTTCTAGGCCAACTTGGGTTCAATGGGACCATGGCTTGAAAACAAAAAACACAAAACCCCAATACCCTGATTCACTGCAAAACATGAGTTGGTTCAGAGGTGTGGGTGGTACTACATTATTTTCCCAGAAAATTCACACGTCACTGTCCAAAGATCATGGCTAAAAGGAAGGAAGCCACTAACAAAATTCTTCTGAGCATTTACAGTTGTTTTAACTATATCCATGCCTCAAAGTCAAATACTAATACTCTACATAGGAAACTGTTTTTATTCCATTATACCTCTAGAAACACTAGCAGTAGCAAGGAAAGATGCCAGTGAAGTCATAAACAAACAAGCAACTCTATACACAGCGGATAGATCTATCAATTAGAATACTCCCCTAATGTAATTCTGTCATAATTTAGAACAGTACTGGCACCAAGCCATTATCAGGGCTGAAAGCATCATGTTATGCTCCCTAAGGAGGCTGGACACAGGTATGCTCACTTCTAAGCCCAGCACCTAGGAGGCAGAGGCAAGAGTCAGGTCAATCTGGGTCACACAGGGAAACTCTGTCTCAAAGGATAACAACAAGAAAAATAAAAAGACAACTGAAAGATATAAAATAGGTTTGCAAATCTACACAATAGGCAGTTTTCTGTCTCACTAGGCAGCTCCCAAATAACTGCACGGAAACTTCTTAGTAATTATGAATGCTCAACCTTAGCTTAGGCTTGCTTCTAACTAGATCTTACAAATTAAGCCATTCCTATTAATTTATTTTCTGTCTCATGGCTTTATTACCTTTACTATGTACTGCCCATGCTGTCTTCCTGCTTCCTTTGTGCCTGGCTGGCAACTCTGTGCTTCTTCCCAGCATCCTCTATTTCTGCAAGTCCTGCCTAGCTCTTGGCTGGTCAGCTCTTTATTAAACCAGAGTGATGAATTTTTTTGCAACAACTATACTACCTAAAAAGCTTGGTCCTTGGGTGGGCAGTTGGTGGTGCACACTTTTAATCCCAGTACTTGGGAGACAGAAGCAGGTGACTCTCTGAGTTCGAAACCAGCCTGGTCCACAGAATGAGATCCAGGACAGTCAGGGCTACAAAGAGAAAGCTTGTCTCAAACCAACAATCACGCCCCCCCCCCAAAACAAAACAAACAAACAAAAAAACCAAAAGCTTGGTCCTTGGAAGTATTGCTATGTAGAAAATACATTTTCGTGCTAATTTATCCAGTGGCAACACATAACTAGGTTACTCACTTTTAAAGGAGTAGCATGGTGTAAAAATAATGGTATATTTATTATCACATAAAATTATTTTAAAATATGAATGTTTTGCCTATATGTATGTCTGTGCACCTGTGTGCCTGGTGATCCCAGAGGGCAAAAGAGGGAACTGGATCATCTAGAACAGGAGCTACAGATAGCTGTGAGCTGCCATGGAGGAGCTGAGAACTGAACCCAGGTCCTCAGAAACAGCAATAACTTCCTTAACCACGGAGCCATCTCTCCAGCTCCATTATAAACACTGTAACCACTAAACACAGAACAAGTTATTAGCTCACACAAACAAGAGCCTGAATTAGCCTTTCCAAGTCTCTAAACAAAGGATGCGCTATGGCAGAGTGGAGGGTGCGAGCCGTGGAGAGCTGTACCCTGCTCTCGGTTACAGAGTCCAGGTAAAGAGGATGCTTGATATATGTCAGTGCCCAGAACTGGCCACCTCCCTGTGGCTTACACAATGCACAGTGTCCCCTCACGGAGGTCTTAGAACCCACTTAGGACTTACCTTCCGACTGGATTCCAGTAGATAGGAGCTTTCTTCTTTAACTCGTTCCATTTCTTCTTGTAAGGTAATAATTCTGTTGTTGGCAACGGCAAGCTGTTGACCAAAATTTAAAAAAAAAAAAACCAAAAACTTTTTATTCTTTTATTTGAATATTTTATTATCTGCTAAGGAATAATTTCAGACTTGAATATTCTTAGGAAATCTATAGCTAAAGGAAGCTGTCTATCACCCTCTAAAATTGTTCTTATCAGTCAGATATGCGGTACGTGCTGTAATCCCAGCACTTTGGAGACTGGGGCTAGTAGATTCTCATAGCTTCAACTACAAAGAGAGATCCAGTCTCAGGAAAAGAAAAGTTCTAATGAGGAACATAGGGGAAGTATCTTTCAAGTACGTAAAATAAAAATGAAAATCACCTGATATTGCTTCTCTATTGTGAATACTTTTATTTTGGATGTGTGTGCATGGGTGCACTGTGAGTGTGTACATACACGTGCAGGTCAGAGGTTCACGTGGGGAGTCTTCCTTTAGTGTTCTTTCCCCTACTGTCTGAGACAAGGCCTCTCACTGAACCTGACACTCAAGTTTTGGCCTACAATGGCTTGCCAGTGATGCCCAGGATCTGTCTGCGACCATCCCCCAAGGCTGGACTGCAAACATGTGCGGACACACCCAGCTTTTATATGGGTGCTCAGCCACTCGGCCACCTTCCCCGTTCTGCTGCCTTTTTACTAAGTCCCAGTGCTGAGACTGTTTAATTCAAGAGCATCTCCATGGCTACATTCTAAACACATTTAGTGAGAATGCTTTTAAAATGCTCACAGGATGAGGTCCTGTCTCAAAAAACAAATGAACAGAAGATCATGAAGCACTGTCTAAACAAAGGTTTAATCAAGTATTCACTTCCTGTCATGGGAATCACATTGGAAACTCTCCAAAAGACCTGTTATAGGTAATTCAGCACTTAGGAGGCTAAGGAGGAGGGTTTAAATTTAAAGTCAGAGAGAGCTAAATAAGACTGTGTTTCAAAAAAGACACAAACTATATATTATCTATCTATCATCTATCTATCTATCTATCTATCTATCTATCTATCTATCTATCATCTATCTATCTATCTATCTATCTATCTATCCATGTTCTAAAGAAAAACTAATTAGCATACTTTAATGCACTGAATTTCTTTAAACCAGGTTTATCTCACTGTGCCTAACAGGACGATTAGAAACAGCGAATGAGCTTGCATTCTGACTAGTTCACATAGGATCCTGATGAAGACGTCTGCTTCTATTAAACAAAGGCTAAGCTACAGATTTAGCCTACTAATCAGATGCCAGCCTTGAGGTTAATTTCCCCTTCCTATTCTAAGGGCTTTTCTAAGAGCGTTCTCATTTATATTCTTGCCTAATCTCCAGAGTCGTTGTGGAGTTGAAAGAGGAAGTAAAAGCACCCCCATTTGCCAGTGGGGAATCTGGGCTTTTTTAGAGGTCATGTGCTCTTAGTCAGGAGCACATGACAATAAGAAGCATTACAAGAGGCAGGGATCAGCGGCCAAAGCTGCTTGATCAGGCATACTCAAGAACAGATAGGATGTGGGGCTCAGGAGCTTGCCAGCTTGGAACACACATATCAGTGTTCCACAGAAATCTGTCTAAAAGAGTGGGGGAGGGGGTTGTCTTTGTCTAGTTGTACCAATCAACAGTGACCAAAATGCTTACTGAATCCTGAGTATCAGGCTGTATTCTATCTAATCCCACCGGGAAAATGAACGACTACGCAGCCAGGGCAGGAAGATGTTTCCTACAGTGGTTCCTACCTGAAAAGTCAAATCATGTCCAAGGCAACAGGAATGATTGGTTTCACTAATTTATATTATTAAATTTATAGGTCAAATGATTGATTCCCAAACACTTACCTCCTCTGTTAATTTAGTGTTGGATTTTTCTAATGCATCTACTTTTGCCTGAAGGTTGTTTACAGTAGCACTATTAAGACAAAAAAAAAAAAACAACACATAAGAGTCTCCTGAAAAACAGGACAATAGCTTGCACTTGCCTTCTTAACCCCACCATAGCTATCAGTCTATAGCAACTCTTCACAAGCTAACGAGATCATTAATTGTATAGAATGAGTTTGTGATTTTTCATACATGCATACAACATGTTCTGATTGTATCTATATCCCAATACCTTCTTAATAATACACACAATTTCTGTCAGACTGGCATGCTCGGAGACAGCATACATGAGTGCCAGTCCTTGGCACAGAGGCAGTGCTCAGTGAGTGAAATCAAAGAGTGAATTCCTGGTACATTCTGAGCGCTCCCTACATGAGACAAAACAGCCCACATATACACCAACTACTCTTGTGATGGTTTCACTGCACTCGACCGCTTCCTTCCTTCAACAGCTTTTGTTAGGCATCTCTCACTACAGACAGAGAACTGAGGTGCAGCAAGGATAAGGAAGAATCAAGGCTATGTTTGGGTATCAAATACAAGCACATCTGTGCTTGACTGGCGTGGCTGCAGATCATTATGGTCACGTTTACCTCTTGTTTGTTTTGTTTTGTTTTTTACTTTCAAGACAAGGTTTCTCTATGGTTTTGGAGCCTGTGCTGGAACTAGCTCTTGTAGACCAGGCTGGCCTTGAACTCACAGAGATCCGCCTGCCTCTGCCTCCTGAGTGCTGGATTAAAGGCGTGCGCCACCACCACCCAGCTCATGCTTACTTCTTAATCCCCAGAGAAAATATACTTAAATTGTTCTTGGATTTCCTAGCTGGAACCAAGACTACTCAAAATTTATATTGATACTGACAGAGGATTCTAGGCATGAGGAAAGGAAATAAAGGGTCCTTGATCACTATCATTTCCTTAGGTGCCGTTTGAAATATGAATATCAATATGCCAGCTTCCTCTGAGACAAATTAACAATCATAATATTTTGGTGAAAACCAAAAACAAATATAAAAATAAATATATAAAGGAGGCCAATATCAAGCACTACTGTGGAAAATCCCAAGCTGCTCCTAACTCATTTTCAAGTGCTAGCCTTTCCGGCTAGATTAAGAATAAACTACCGTGACTGGTCTTCCGTGCAGTTCATACAGATCTAAAAGTTGAAACAAACTGCAAAGTTAAAGATACCCCAATGGCATGGGCTTTGGCTTTAACTAGCCCAAAGTCAGAAGTCAAAGGCTAAACCGACAGAAGCAGCTGCTATTGGCTGTTCCCACCCAGCCCTGAGCTAAGGACTGAAGAACTTAACTCACAGAAAATGCTGCTAGTTAGCACCCTTCCACCTGAGACACATCCTCACAGCAGGGCTGCCCAGAGCAACTCTTAGGAGGCCACGAGGCTAAATAAAGAAACTGAAGGGAACATTTCTTCCTTGGTTGGCCCTACAGGGCAGAATCCTGCTTCTGCAACCACACTCAGTTACTCTGGAAGAAGTGCAACATTGCACCCTTCAACAAAATGATAAGGAACTGTCTTAGGACCCAGCTCTTTTCCTTCCTAGAAACTTGGTCTTCGGGATGTATCCTTTTACTTGTATACTGTTAAGATATAGCTTTTCCCCCTTCTTCAGCTTAGCAGCTGTCAAGATCTTTGACTTGCCTGTTTGGGACTTTCTCTTGAATTCCAATAATTTGCCCCTGAGATCCCTTCTGATTTCTTTTTAAATTTTTATTTCATGTGTATGGATGTTTTGCTGATATGTATGTTGTGTACCACGTGTGTGCCTGTGCCCACAGCAGAACTGGAGTTCCAGACAGTTGTGAGTCCTCATGTGGGTGCTGGGAAGTGAACCTGGATCCTCCTAAAGGACAGTCAGAGGTCATAACTGCCGAGCCATCTCTCAAGTCCCCAATCCATTTTAAAATTATTCTATAATGAAACCAGAGACCTGCAAAGGGTACTCGGCCTCTGCAGAAAATTGTATCTACATTATAAGTCAGTTATAATGCCTTTTATGCTAGACATGGTGGCACACACCTTTAATCCCAGCCCTTGAAGCCGGTGCAGGTGATCTCCATGAGTTCAAAGCCAGGTACCAGTCTGGTCTATATAGTAATTTCCAGACCAGCCACAGTACAAGGTAAAACCCTGTCTCAAGAGAGAGAGGGCAGAGTGTGTGTGTGTGGGGGGGTAATTCTGGAGAGTGTGAAATATCTGGTGATAAATTAGTGGTAATGAGCAAGGAGAGGGCAAGTTAATATATCAATTTAGTGTGTAAGCGAGACATGCAAGGGAACAAGAGAGATGGTTTACCCAAGATCAGTACTGCAGTAGGTGGCTTTATCCAAGGCCAAGGTATATGTGTTACGTTTTATGGTTCTTATTGAGTAGCTTACTTAACCTCTAAGTTACAATCTCATGATAACCTTTTATTGCCATCTGCTAAAAGTTCCTTAACTTATCCAGTACTTAGTTCTGTGATTGGCAAATGGAATTTTCTGTATATTTGCTGAACGCTGACAGAACGGGTCTTCATTGCTCACTGTTTTATGATTCCTTCCCCTCTCAATAAGCCCCAAGAAAAGAATTTTATTCAGTCTTTACTTCAGATGTCTGTTGAGTTCTTCCACGTAGTTCTTCTGGTCTAGAATTGCGGTAATCTGACCATCCCTGGAGGGAAAAACAACGGAAACAGAAGTAAGCGAAGTGGCAGAAATACCCGACAGAGCTTTCATCCCACTCTTCCTAAAGCCCGAGTCTGCTGGCCACAGACACACTGAACCAGAGCTCACACTTGATACGTCACTATGTGGACATGTCAACAAGGAAGAGTCAGTGGTTCAAAAGTAGGAGAAACAACCTACATTAATACGGCTTTCATAAGAGTCAAGATATTTAAAAAATGATTTTCTGTGATTGCATGTTTTGCCTTTGTGTATGACTGCACAATATGTGCGCAGTACCCCCGGGTCCCCTGGAAATGGAGTTACCAATGGTTGTGAGCCACTATGTGGGTGCTGGGAATGGGGCCCAGGTCCTCTGGAAGAGCAGCCAGTGCTCTTTCCACTGAACCAGCTCACCAGCCCCAGTTCATTTCTTTCTAATACAGGGTCTCTCTACGCAGCTCTGGTTGTCCTGGAATGCACAGAGATCTGCCTGTCTCTGCCTCTCAAGTGCTGGGATTAAAGCCATGTGCCATCATGGCTGGCTTGTTTCTTTGTCTGAGTTTTGGTCACTGAGGCTCAGCCTCCCAGGGTGGGACATAGATGGGGCGCAGCAATGATGGGCTTGTCTAAATTTTCAAGCTCTACTTAAAGCTATGGAGAGCTGGCTGGATGGGGTGATTTTACACTTGGATCCTATGCTGAGAAGCGGAAGCAGCAGGGAAGCCCGAGTTCAAGGTCAGCTTTATCCATGTTAGGCCACTCAGGGCTATAGTATGAGGCTATCAGAAAAACAAAAACAAAACAATATGGAGAACTGGATTGACTGTATATATCTTTACTATGTCTCCCTCTGAAATACCTAGCAGAAAAGTCATTCACATAAAAGTCCTTTTAATCATAGACCCAATAATTAGATAATTTTTAAAATTTTATTTATTTAATATACATACAGTGTTCTGTCTATCTATATGTTTGCAGGCCCGAAGAGGGTACCAGATCTCATCACAGATGGCTGTGAGCCACCATGTAGTTGCTGGGAATTGAACTCAGGACCTCTGGAAAAGCAGTCAGTGCTCTTAACCTTTGAGCCATCTCTCCAGCCCCATAATTTGATATTTTTGTCAAGACTTTATTAAAGTTATATAATCAAAAATTCTTCTACTAAATCTGCTAACACAATATTGTTATAAACTTAGACAAAAAAAAAACATGCTACATCTAGCCGGGCGATGGTTGCACATGCCTTTAATCCCAAAACTTGGTTGGCAGAGGCAAGTGGATCTCTGTGAGTTCCAGGCCAGCTGGTCTACAGACTGACTTCCAGGACAGGTTCCAAAGCTACATAGAGAAACGTTGTGTCTTGAAAACAAAACGAAACAAAAAACAAAACAAAACAAAACACTACATCTGAGGGGAAAAAGCAATTTCATCATACATACCCCTCACTACCTTTACTGCTGTTTCCATCTTTGAGATACATCGAAAAATCTATAACTCCAACCTACAGGGAGAATTTTCAGAAGTTAATAGAAAATTTGACACTATTCCTGAGACATAAAACAATGTTGCTTTCTAGGCATTCAAAAATAACATAACCGGGACCATCACCAGAAGTCCATGATGAACGTTTAACATTGTACTATGAACGTAATATAAAGTGAAAAATGTAAAAAGCCAAAGTGAGCCACAGGGGTGAGGGTGTGGCTCAGTACAGCCGACTGTGCCCCTAATAGGCACAAACTCACTTCCATGCCCAGCAACACACACACACACACACACACACACACACACACACACACACGCCACCACCACCACCACCACCAAAAATAACAACAAAGGAAAAAGGAAGAAAATTCATGACAGTCAACGAATACTTAGCACAAAGAATAAAGTTTAAATTTTCTTTTTTTTCAGGCATTCTGCTACTGGCTTTATTTTCTTCTAGAAAAAGCTTTTTAAAAGTTATTTATAAAAGTTACTTTAAAAGTTTTTTTTTAAACTTAAATTCTACAAGCGTGCAGAGAATTGGGTTTCATTACGCACTCTTCGGTGCCTCGTCCCTTCTTCCTTGTCCCCTCACCCCCGTAGCTTACTCTGCACTTTCATATCACATGTGACCTTTTGACCTCCCCATCCCCTTTGCGGTCTCCTATTTAGTTTTAAAGTTTAAAAGTGTATAGTCAGAAGCTACACCCACAAAGTGTCACCAACATAGCCTAAACCCGAGGTGAACAAGGACAGCAACAGAAGACATGTCAAAGCGGGCAGGGGACGGTCAGGCCCCACGCACACACAAAGAATGACAGGCCGCCAAGGAATGCCAACAATGGGAAGGAGGTCTCCTCCAGGGAAGAGCACACAACTGCTTATCCAAGACCAAAGGGTCAGCCCGGAAATCACCCACACAAGTAACAGTACACAGAATGAGCAGGGTATATCTAGGACTATACACGCATACACATAAACATATAAGCAGGTAACAACCGTTAAGACTGGGGGCTATGAGTCTGAAAGACATTGAAGAGGAAGTTACTAGAAGATCCGAGGGAGGAAAGTGAAGAGAGAAATGATGTAATTACATTATAATGTAAAAGAAAAAATAAAACCATTATAGTTAAAATGCAGAAACAACACCTATTCCCTTGTTTATGCTTGACAGGATCAGAAAAATAAAAGCAATTTAAAATACCTACACCCTTTACACTGCCCCTAACGACCACTACTAACATTCTGGTGTCTGTTTCAACTTTCACTGAGGAACATCTTCATTTTTTCAAATCTGTCACTTTATTACCATCTTATTTCTTTTTTAAAAATCCAAATCACACAACGCAACCTTTCCTATTTCTCCTAGTGAAATGGAGCAAACTCACCACATTATAAGGGGTGAGAAATGGTCTCAGTGAAACATCTTTATTATTGGGCAATTAACTCAAGCATGGCCCTGATCAAAGCGAACTGTATTTACAAAAACCCCACTAACTACTCTTTTTTATGTGTGCATATCAAGAAATGGAAAGCACCAAAAACAACTAGACGATATATCCAGCTAGAAAATAAAACTGTGAAACTAAGCAGTTGAGCCTTCGAGCCTTCACTGCACTTCCTTGCTGCCCTGGCTTTTAATATAAATCCTGGAAGAACAGCTGAGGCCAGAATTTGAAAAAGACAAAAACCTAATTTTTCCTATTCACACTGAGACAAAGGGGGAATTTGAAGCAGGGCAACTAATGCTATGAAGGATTTACTAATAAACTTGCTTGGGGAATACTAAGCTATAGAACGTGAATTTCTCTAAGGGGACGCTGCCTCCAATATGACTGAAAAACAGTAATGTACTGAGCAGGCTTGTTAGAAACCGCGAGAAAAAACATTTTGTTCCATAACTGAAGTTTGCAGTTGCTGAGAAAGTTTCTGCTAACGTCTGTTGGCCAACACTGACCTCCAGTGAGGCTCCATTTCCACAACAGAAGGAGACAATCCTGACTTCAAGTCCCTTAGGCCCAACCCAGAACAAAGAACATGGTCCAGGAATATCAGAGGGTCACAACCACCATTAAACCCTGGTCTGCCATTAAATCCCCAGTGCGCTTACTAGGTAAAGCCTAATTCTGACAGGCAGGCAGGAGAAACCTGGGTAACGACTGCACGGAAAGGTGACCACTGGTGCACTTAAGCCATCAGGCATTGTCCGTGCTGTGCACATGTCCCATCTGCCAAGTGGTCACTTTCGGTTTCCTAGCTTGTTAAAACTGTTCAAAGTGTAACCTGGGGCCGAAACAATATGTGTAAATTGCATAAGCCTGGGCTCCATAGATGTAAATTGGTAAAATTTTCTCTCTGGGGCTGGTTCCCTTTTGTGCCTAGCCAGAACCAGTCACAAACTAATAGAGCTTCTTCGTTTACTGACCTCTAAGTGTGCAGAGTGGTTTCTCACTTCAAAGGCACATTAACTCTACAGGAACAACAAAACGAAAGGAAATCCTGTTTCTGATGCTCACAATGTCTTCTAACTTGGTTGGTGTGATCTGACCAATCCAGGCTCTGAGAGGACAGGGCACAGAGTGATACCATTGGTTACAGGAGAATTTCCCATACCTGAGAGTCCAGGTCCTCTCCTTTCATGCAGAAATTGGCATCGATGACATTCAGGCCCACCAGGAGACCAGCAATAATAGCTCCTTCCTCTTCCATCATGAGGGCATTGGCTTCGTAGAACTCACTACAACAGAAACCAGGGAGCACAGTAAGACCTCGGCATATATATTCATATGTGTATGTGCATATGCACACACGTATATGGCTAGAAAACGAGGCTCTGCTAGAGACTGAATGCCAATCTTTCTGAATGCTATGCAAGTCCTCTACCACCAAGCCCCACCCCAGCACCACTGTTGCCTATCAAATAACATTGTACTGTAAATATCCTGACGATGATCTTACAGTTTTATTTTTTTTAATTTTTATTTTATGTGCATCGATGTAAAGGTGTTAGATCCTGAGTTACAGACAGTTGTGAGCTGCTATGTGGGTGCTGGGAATTGAACCTGTGACCTCTGGAAGAGCAGTTTGTGCTCTTAACCACTGAGCCATCTCTCCAGTCCCTGATCTCAGAGTTTTAAAGAATCATTTCCTGTATAACTTAGGTAAAAATAGTTATTACTAAAAAACTAAAGTAAAAGAAACACATGTGAAACCTAATAGGTTTCCTGATAACAGGTTTCTCTGCGGCCGCAGTAAGCCAGATCAAGCCGGAAGGAAAAAGTAAAAGAACAGGTTTGTTTGAGCAAAGCAACTCCTGGGTGAGTCCCTCTGCCCCAGATATCAAGGCCAGAGAAGTCACACACTGGAAGTAAAGCAGGGAGCTTTTATACCCTGCAAGTGATGGTGTGATGACATGTCCTCTACAAGCTTGGTTTGTGCCCAAGTACAGTCAAAACCTTTAAGAGGGGTCTTGGGCTACTTGCAACTTCAGGGGAGGAGCTGCTGCAGTGGCCAAGAGCACAGAACTAGACTTTCTGGCACCTTTTCTTTGTAGGATATTTCAGACCCCATTCAGCATTAGCAGAAAGTTACTTCATATCCCTTCTAACATTACACACACACACATATATGTGTATGATATATATATAATGTATATATATTGAGACAAAGTCTCACGATGCAAGGCTGAACTTGGAATCTGAACTTGGCCTAGAACTTGGAGTAATTCTTCATATGCCCTGGTGTTGGATTACAGGTGTGTGCCATCATACCTGGCCAATAGTTGGTACCATCTGCCCTTTCATTTTGTTTATTTTGGGCAAATACCAGTATCACCTTGCTTTATTGCATTTATTTACTTGTTTGTGTATGGGTGTGTGTGTGCCACAGTATGTGTATGAAAGTCAGAAAACAATTTGCAGGAATTGGTCCTCTCCTTCTGCCATGTGGGTTCTGGGGCTTAAACTCTGGGAACTAGGCTTATGGGTAAGTGATTTTACCCACTAAGCCATTTTGTTGACCCTTGTATCTTGTTTTAAAATATACTTTTATGATGGTCGGTAAAGTCACACATCTTTTTCTATGTTTACAAGTCATTTGTTTTATTTTGTTTTGGAGACAGGGTTTCTCTGTGTAGCCCTGGCTGTCCTGGAACTCACTCTGTAGACCAGGCTGGCCTTGAGCTCACAGCGATCCATCTACCTCTGCCTCCCAAATGCTGGAATTGAAAGCATGCATCACCACAGCCCGGTTAATTTTTCCTTTTTGAAGCTTAAATTTTCTGTCTGTGTTCATATGTTTGTATTGTTTTTACTTTAGTAGGATTATTATTATTACTATTGAGACAGAGTGTCCTGGAGTTTATGTTCTACACCAGGATGATCCTGAACTCACAAAGATCCTCCTGTGTTTGCCCTCAAGTGTTGGAGTTACAGGTGTGTGCCCTATGCCTGCCAGCCACATTCTTTATGTATATTCTTTGTTAAATATGCATATAATTATATAATTATTAAAAAATCTCCTTCACTCTATAGGTTGCCTTTTATTTTTAACATTATGGTTGTATCTGTTTGGTTTTGTTATGAAGATTTTCTATGTAACCTAGGCAACACATGATCTATGTGAATGGTACGTATGAAAGGATTATCAACCCGTTGTCCTATTGGGTCTATGCACAGGCTGTGGGCCATAAGCTTTCCTTGTTTTCTGGTGCTGTAAAGTTCTGAACTGCCCTACAAAGGACCACATATAGATAGCCACAGCTACATAGAGGACATACACTGCATAAAACACCCTGTCAGGACTGGGAGTATGTGAGGTGCAGTACAGAGAACTGATCAAACTGTTACGTATACGTCTTTCTGACCTACGCAATCAGCAAGTTTCTATGACTTGACTTTGAATGATACTGGCAGAATATGTCAATAAGAAAGTTTGACTTGTGTTCATACCTGAGGAGTTCCTTCTTATTGATCAAGGCTTTCATATACTCAGAAAGCTTCTTCTGCATTAATGCCAAACGAAGCCAGGCTCTTCCTCTGCCAACTGGTGTCCTACAAGAGCACAGAAACCAAGTGACTGAGAACAGGAAAGGCAGTAGGGCGGGTCCAGTGTGGGACAGGACTCGTGCTCTTCCAATGGCCTTACTGAGGTCCCCACCTGTGCTTGCACTTGTAATTGTGGGTGGGATTGTGAGTCTTGGGTGTCTGGGACAAACAATCTTGCATTTGCATTAGTAAGTAAATGTGCGGTAGTCTGAAGACCAGTACACTTTTCGGCACAGCTGGAAATGTCCCATCAGTTTAGTGTGCAATGAGCCCTAAGTTTAGAGCAGGGTATGCAGGAAACCGGATACTCAGATGGACACAGGCAAAGTGTGCTTTCATTCGGTTAACATTAAACCAGTTTCCCGTGGGAAGCTAATCTCTACTTTTATTCCCCAAGTTTGAAGGCAGATCTCATTTTCCTCAGGCTCACTTAATCTTGGCTCTAAAATCCATGGATCACAGTTGTTTTCCTGAAATCCAGCCAGGCATAACATCTTCCTAGGTCAAATTTCTTAAGACCTGCTGATTCTCATGTGCATTTTTGTAATCAAACAGAGATTCTGGTATTATTATATGAAGACAACCTCTCTTTAGGAAGTACCCTTCAAGAGACACTAACAGTGATAACAGTGATTAACAGTGATAACAGCATTACAAACTTGGGTTGTTATAAAAATGTACACATCATCATTAGCCCCATTCTTCAAAGAGAGAAAGAAAACTTAGCCCAAGACTTACTTAAGTCCTGGGAGATCTTTAACACTTGCTGTTATCTCTGCAGCTTCTGGAACAAGCTTTTCTACTAGCTCTAGAGGCCCCCAGAAGGATTTATTTTGTCCAAGAAAAGTTTTCTTGGCTAAGAAAACAAAGAGAAACAGTATTTTAATATTCTTTACAACAAAAATACCCCTATACTACAAACACATAAAGGTGCTTGCATATCTGTGCCAGCATTCTCGTTCACATTCTCTCATTCTCTCTCTCTCCAGCATTCGTTCTGGGTATCCAATCCTAGGCTATTAGTTTCAAACTTTTCATGCAAGTTGAGAGATGGCTCAGTGAAGCAAGTGTTTGCCACACAAGTGTGGCCAGAGTTTGGATCCCTAAGGCCCACATAAAAACCAGGTGGGCGTGGTGGCTGACCTGTAATCCCAGCACAAGAAGGACTGAGACGGAGCATCCTGGGGCAAGTTGGCTAGTTACCCTAGCAAGTCTGTGAGCTCCAGACTGCCTAAGACCCTTTGCTGGTAAGTAAAAAAATTGAGAATAGGAAAGATACTCGCCATCAATCTCTGGCCTTCACTCACACACATTTCCACAGATGTGTGCCCCAGATATATATATGTATACCACACACATAGAAACACATGTAAAAATTATGGTTTCATAATAGATAAAAATTTACAAAAATAAAAAATTCTGTACTTCCAAGACTCAGTTCTTCCTTTTTTTTTTTTTTAAAGAATTTGTGATGGGGCTGGAGAGATGAATCAGCAACTAAAAGTATTGACTGTTCTTGTAGAAGACTCAGATAAAACTCCCAGCACCCATACGACAGCTCATAACTGTCTGTAACTACAGTTCCAGGGGATCTGATGTCATCTTCTGGTTTCTATGGGCACCAGGCACAAACATAGTGCACAGGCATAAATGTAGACAAAACACCCATATACATAAAAATAAAATAAAAAAGAATTAGTGATCTAGTCCATAATAATATTTAATGATTCCGTAGTTAAAACCATATAGTATTAGTGATGAAAACAGCCCAGTAAAAAACTGAACAGTGAAAAGGGAGGGGTAAGGAACTAAGATGGCCTGACTAGGGTCCCCCCAAACTGCTTACGTGAGCAGAGCAGGAAGCCTGACTACAGCACCCGTTCTGCCCCAACTTTTTTTTTTTAATATTTATTTACTTAGTATGTACACAATATTCTGTCTGCGTGTATGCCTGCAGGCCAGAAGAGGGCATCAGACCCCATTACAGGTGGTTGTGAGCCACCATGTGGTTGTTGGGAATTGAACTCAGGACCTTTGGAAGAGCAGGTCATGCTCTTAACCACTGAGCCATCTCTCCAGCCCCCTGCCCCAACTTTTGATCTGGGCTGGTAACTAGTCAGTTCTAGGCAGGGCTCTTCTCCTGTCAATTGACGGAGCAGCCATCTTTGTTTGCTTAGTAACGAAGGCCCTTTCAACTCTAACATTCAAAGACAGTTGCACTTTTATGGACTGTAAGTCCTTTAAGTCAACTAAAATTCTGCTCCTACAAAGGTTGCATCCTACTATTTTTTTCAAAGACAGGGTCTCTTACTATGTAGCCCTAGCTGGCAAGAAACTTTCTCTATAGATGAGCTAGTCCTGAACCCACAGAAATCTCCTGTCTCCTAAGCGCTGGGAAGTAAAGGCGTGAGCCACCATGCCAAGGCCGTTAATACTGTGCATCCAAGATTTCTGCTTTTTGTTTCCATGGAAAAGGCTTCTTTCCGGGTAGGCATTGCTAAGGACTGGCTGCACATTTGCATTCTGAGGCCACAGCCCACCTTTCAAGCCGTGCTTCAGGCAGTGCTCCATCACCACGAAGAACTGCTGGAGGGGGGCATAGTCCGAGTCCAGGGTTCGCCCCAGGTTCAGAGCAGATTCAATCAGGCCTTTGATACTCAGCTTTGCCATGTTCATCAGATTCATGCGTTCGTTAGCCATGAGATAATTAGGATCTGTGGGAAGGGAATGAGCTCACTTAGTGGGAAAGCACACCATGAAAACAGTACCATTTCACCATACTGATGTCTACATTGACGGCATAAAAGCAACGGTGAGCAAGACTGCTGGCGATTTGTCCTGAACCAAGGAAGTGGCACCAAATAGTTATTTTCCATTGTATTCTTCCTGGCTATGTACTTGCTGTAGAAAAAGATGTTTCCTTGTTTAGTCATTTTAAAAGCAAAACTGAGCCATTTTATCAATGCTTAAGTCTTAAATACTCCTCTGGTAGCTACCTACCTGGGCACCTCCACAGCGCGCTACTTGCTATCCTGACACATGGCTGGACCTCCATCCTCACTACTCCTCTGAGAGCGCCTGGCATGGTGTGCTTAAAGAGATCCAAGATGGGGGGAAAGTGCTTGGACAAGCTACTCCAAGTGTACCATTTACTTTCTTGGTATCAATAACAATTGCTACTGGGATTAAAGGCGAGATCCACCATGCCCACCTCACTTGCTAGATTTATGTCTACTTGATACAACCTGGAGTCAACTCAGGGAACCTCTATTGAGAAAATGCCCCCCAAAAGATCAGTCTGTAGGCAATCCAGTAGGGCATTTTCTTAGTGACTGATTGGGAAGTGCCCAGCCCATTGGAAGTTGTGCCACTCCTGGGCTAGCTGTAAGAAAGCAGCTGAGAAACCCACGAGGAGCAAGCCAGTAACCAACACGCCTCTGCATGAGCGCTTGCCTTCAGGTTTGGCTTCCCTCAATGAACTGTGATTCAGGTTTTATAAGCAAATAAAACCTTTCCTTCCCAAGCTGGTTTGGCCAATGGTGTTTCATCACAGTAATATTAACTCTAACTAAGACATTACTTACTAAATTCCTTCATACTATTAATGAACTATTGGTACAATATGGTACAAGAAATTAACTCCCAAGTTTTCAATACTCAATACACAGTGTCTGGCTCTAAGCACCAGAAATAACCTATTTGAGGAAAGCAGCACCAGGACCTTATTGTATTTACAGAACACAGAAGGTCCAGGTACTACTGTGTGCTTCTTAGAATTATGATCCTTTTTTCGCCCCTGAAACAGGTTTCACTAGAACCAGTAACAATTCTCAGCCTCAGCCTGAGCCTCCATAGTGCTGGGATCATATCCATGTATAACCAAACATATCCAATTATGGTCTTAACTGTTTCTTGTAATGAGTTATGCAGCTGGTCCATAGCACAGTGACCAGTGACAGAACCAGAGTCCAGAATGCCTTTGCTCGACTCCAACACAGTGCCTGTGTTCCTCCCCCACCACAATCTACTTATAAACGAACTGATGGGGACAGATGCTTTTGATCCTCCAGTCCTAACACGATTATCTTATGTACCCACTATTTCACTATTACTGCTGAAGTATTTTTCCTTCCTTTAAAGATCTATTTATTTTTATGTGACTGAGTGCTTTGCCTGTGTATTAGTACACCATGTCCACGCCGTGCTTGTGGGGGCCAGGAGAACAGTCAGATCACCCGGAACTGTAGTTCTGTGAGCCGCCATGCATATCCTGGAACTAGAATCTCGGTCCTCTGAGAGCAGTGAGTGCTGTGAAAGGCACCAGCCCTGCCTCCTCTTCGGTTTAGATGAAAGACCAGGGACAGAACAGTGCTGGGGGCTGAGGCTCCACAATCCACAGAGGAAGGATTTGGACTTGGATTTACCATGAAGACTATGTGCATGCATATACACAGAAATCACATAGGAATACACATGTATGTGTAAACCCTCCCGTGCATCAGCAAATATCAAATTTGTGTAAATAAACTAAAAGCTGCCCAGTGCTCTATAAAACATTTTACTTCTGCAAGAAAGTCCAAAGTCCTGCTAAAACTACACTTTCATAATTCAAATAAACAACAAGACAAAAACAGGCTATTTTGTCACACAATGCTTTCCTTTATATCTGCCTTCATACTTAAGTCAATAAAGCAAAAATGACCAAATCCTAAACTAATTTACATTAACTTTACAGACTAATAGACTTACATCCCCAACTATAAAAACTCTTATTTGTTATAGTGTTCTCATAGGTACTATTGTAATTACCCATTAACTAACTTTTAGAGGTAATGTCTCACTACATGGCCCAGGCCAGTCTTGAACTAACAATCTTTTTTGCCTCAGCACCCCGAGCAGTCACGATAATGGATGAACACCTTTTCATCTAGTTTAGGCAACATTTTAGAGAAACACTTTACATCAAAGTCAAATTGGTCTATGTTATCATTACCTATTTCTTGCACATTAACACATTTAAGGCTACCATCAGGCATCTCCTTTTTATGTACAGGGATGTTCTGCATGCATATGTCCACATATACATGTATGTCTGGTGCCCACAGAGGCCAGAAGAGGGCATAGAATCCCCTAGAACTGGAGTTACAGAAGGCTGTGAGCTGCCATGTGGGTTCTGGGAATTGAACCTGGGTCCGCTGGAGGAGAAGTCAGTGCTCTGTGCAGCGCAGCCATCTTCTCTCCAGTCTCAGACGTAGCTCTTTGTCCATTCTACACTAACTTGTTAAGGGAAGGCACCTGCACATCTATGCTCACAATGGCAAGGAAGTGGAACCAGTGTAGACGACCACCAACTCAGGAAGGACAATGAAAATGTAGCACACATACACAATCTAACTCTATTCAGACACGAAGAAAAATGAGGTTATTAAATGTGTCGGAAAAGGAACGGAACTAGAAAATACTATATTAAGGGAAAAACTCGGGCTCAGATAGACAGACACATATTCTCTTTTAAATGTAGATCTTAGCTATTAATTTTTATGCATGTGCATTTATGTGGGAGTGAGAACACATCAGGAAACTAGGAAGGGGATTATTAAGTCAAAGGGGGAAATGATTTAAGTTGGGGAGGGCAGTAGAACGCTGTGATATGAGAGGTGGGGGAGTAGTGGAGGTAGAAAAGCTGAAGTGGGGAGAGTTCAGGGAGTTGAGGGACAGAAAGGAGAGGGAGAGGTTAGACCAAAGCAATAATGTATTTTTTAAAAAGCCATAAGGAAATCTGATACTTGATAAACTAATAAAAAATAAATGGATAGCACCACGCACCACCACCAAGGCTTGGAACGTCTGGGAGGAGGAAGTGGAAACAGTGTGAGTGCAGGGGATAGAGAGGAGTGATGTGCTGCTGTCTTCTGAACAGGACATGGCTATCAGACTCCGAAGTGCACAGCAGCCCATACCTGCACAAGACCGGAACCACATAAACGAGATGAAATTATGATAGATGGGCTAGGTGAGTACCCTCACTGAGGTACTATTGGCAGTTGATAATTGCTTTGGGGACAGATGGAAAACATTCTTTCTGAAAATGTGGCCACTGGTAAGATTCCCATGTTTCAATGCATAGTCCCACACCCCACTTATATGGGCAGCATTAACTGTTCTTAGAGGGTTATACAAATAATAACAGAATGACAAAAACAGGCTAGGCATTGTGTGGCGTGTGTCTTTAATCTTAGTACTCAGGGGGTACAGGCAGGCAAACCTCTGTGAGTCTAAGGCCGCTCTTGTCTACATAGTAAATGCTAGACTAGTCAAGACCACATAGTAAGACCTTGTCTGGAAAAAAAAAAGTTGAGCTGGGCATAGTGGCACTTGCTTTTAATCCTAGCACTCAGCAGGCAGAGGCAGGCAGATTTCTGAGTTCAAGGCCAGCCTATTCTACAGAGTTCCAGGACAGCCAGGGCTACACAGAAAAATCCTGACTCAAAAACCTAAAAAATTGAGGGTGGAATGTTTTGGAGGGGATATAGAGAAAATTGGAGTGGGGAATAATCATACTTCATTGTATACAAGTTCAAAAATTTCAAGCCTCCCCCCTAGTAATACCAACATATGCCACTGTCCTTGGATGCCTACAAGATTGAGCTAATAAGATCCTTCTTAACAAAGATGCTACATGTCATGGTTGTTGGACACAGAGAAACGCAACAATACCAACTACCAGGCAAGAAGCGCTGATTTGCTCAGTAGTGTGATCTGTTACAAGAGTAACCAACCACTTTCTGATTGGATTTGCAGCCTATTCCGTAAGCAGGAATTCACATCTGGAATTGTAAACCTGGTTACAGGTCTACTGGCAGGCTGTTGCTGCTGTTCTGCCGAGCAGACATGGTGTGTTCATCCAACTGCCTTACACATGGATTTATGTTCCCAGATTCGTGGGGCCAGCTTTGATCAGAGGAATTTCTTCTTGCAGCAGTCAGTATTTAACAGCAGACACTCATAACTGATCACAATGCTGTGTGTGAGTGGTTTTGGATTCACCAATGAGATATCTATATTACCCCCTCCAAGGCTCAGGTAAACTCAGAGAAGGGAAATGTTGGCATTAGGTGTGTGTATAGATGATCAAAATATATTGTGTATATTTATGAAAATGTCACAATGAAACCATTATGTATAATTCATGTCTAATACAAATTTAAAAAACAGAGTACTTGCTTAGATATATGAGGTCCTGGGTTAGTGTCTCTCAGCACTGGGGGAGGGGGGCAAGGGAGAAAGTCAAACAGGGACAGTGAAATATACAAAAATTTATCATCTAGCTGGGAGATGGTGGTGCGCACTTTTAATCCCAGGACTTGGGAGATAGACACAGGTGGATATCTGTGAGTTCAAGGCCAGCCTGGCTTACAGAGTGAGATCCAGAACAGGTTCCAAAGCTACAGAGAAACCCTGTCAAAAAAAACAAATTTTTTTTTCCTCTCAAAGCAGAATATACCAAAAATATTAATTTTCTTAGCAGCAGGATGCACCATCCAGTGTTTCTAATATCTTATAATCAGTGGTGGTGTGGGGATAGTATTTTAGAGAGCTATTAGACACCCGACTTCACCCCTCTCAACAGACGGCAGGAGACGGACCAGATCCCTGGCGGCCTGCCTCAGTAGCATTGCTATGCTTCAGTCCTGTGGACCACCAGTTTGGGAGC